ATTATGTTCTCAAAAGTACTCTATCTATATAGATAAGTTACCCAAGCAATTGATTTGTATTAGCTGATCAAACAAACATCTGTCTATAAGGTTGCAAATGGGTCAGTTACAGTTATGACTAGTCACTTACTAGTTACAACTGTAATTGGCCAAAGGCTTTTAATGATCAGTTAAAATTCTAACTGATACTATTTGTCAATATAATTTAATCACCAATTTGTTATAAGACCTTTATATTTACAACAAGAATTATATAAATTATAAAAATTTTTTTAATTAAAATTTATTAATAGTTACATGTTTTCAATAAATTTGATTGGCATAATAAATAATCACATGTTTTCTGTATCAGTTTAAACTATTCTGATTGGCTAAAAATTCTATATTTTAAATTTATTATAGATGATTAACAAATGATTAATTGATTAAAAAATTTCTAATCAATTAGTCAACTAGTTGTCAACTAGTTGGTTTTTAACTAATGATTTAGATCACTAGTTAGTAGTAAAGGCCTGCATTGGGTCCCAAAGCCCAGCCTGGTGTGCGGGCCTAGGCAGGCCTAAAAAAAATTTTTATAATTGCGGGCCGGGCCAAAATTTTAAAAAAATTTATATTAAAAATTTGCGGGCTGGGCCAAAATGGGCCAGGCTTGACAAAAAATTTTTAACTACGGGCGGGCCCGGGCTAGCAAAAAATTTGTAACCCTAATTGCAGGCCAGGCCCGGGCCTTAAAATTGGGAATTTGCAGGCCTCTAGTCAGTAGTGCTAAACAGGGTATAAAATTTCCAGGTGATGTAATATATTTTTTTTCTGTCAAATGTTTTTTTAAAGATATAAACTTATAAACTACAACTAGAGTAGATTTGTAACCAAACCTATTTATCGTAGGTTTAGGTTAACTAAATTATTTCGTATATGGAAAGTATTTCTTTTAATTGTTTATTGTTTTATTGTTAAAAAGCGATACCTCCTTTTACAGACATTTTTCCCTTTATATATTCAGGTTTTTCCTTACTAACTATTACTAATGCGAATTATATCCATGACTACATTTATTATATATTTGCTTCTAACTTAGTGTTCCTAGTTGGTAAAATTTTGCTAATCAACTAGTTGCCAACTAAAGTTGCCAACTAATCGATTATTTATATCATGTGATATTTTCAGATATTAGCCAATCAAATCCAAGAAATTATTACGAATTAGCCCGACTAAGCAGAATATTTTGAAATTATATTAATTAAATGTTTAGTTGTTTAGTTGTCGATTAGTTGTTTAGTTGGTTAGTTAGCAACTAGTTGGGTTTTCAACTAACAATTTGGAACACTATTCTAACTATTAATAAGCTTTTAATTTACATACTATTCATGCATATTACAATACTCAATTATCTTGCCCAATCAAATATGGCTCCAACTTATCCAGCCCTGCTACATGATAATCTTTATCACACAAGTCATAAAGTTTGTATTCCCCGATCTTGACTTGTTCGGGCTCCAAGTCATATGCCACATGACCAGTACCTAATTGATGTAATCTATATCTAAACCTTTACACTCTCCTCTATTTAAAACAATTTCACTGTTTTCTTTGAATGCTTGTACCAAGTCTTTACAGTTTCCAAGGTTCGTATAAGGCTCCCAAGTAGTATAATAGAGTGGGTAATCTTTCTATTTTATAAGATATTGGACTTGGCGGTGAAAGACACGCTTGTCCAAAATATTCTCAACTTTGAATTCTGGCTTCAAGGTGTGTTTCATTACAATCGGAGAAGGTAGCTGTAATATATCTCGGTCTTCAAACTCGTTTGGTCAGTATAGTTTTAAGAGTGATATATAAAAAACTGGGTGAACATGGAAAGAGTCTGGTAATTCTAATTTATATGCTGTAGTAGATATTTTTTTTAGGATTTGGAACAGTCCAATAAACTTTGGTGTAAATTTCTTTGCTGGACATTTCAAATTTTCGGATGAAGTTAAGTTTACTGTATTTAATATTACAAAATCTCCTTTGCTAAATTCTAAGTAGCATCTTTTTTTATTCGCATAATTTGCTTGTCTTTCCTGGGCATTAACTAATTTGTCTTTTGCTATGTTTAGTATTGTCGTCCAATGATCCATTAAGTCTTGAGCTGCTTTTACATTCATTTGTTTAACTTGGTTCACAATTAGACTAGAGGAGGAAATAGGGTGGTGGCCATTATCAAGTTGGAAGAGAGTAAATCTCATAAAAGACTGTAATAAATCATTATATACGAATTTAGCAGCTATCAAAAGCTGATTCCAGTCATTCTGTTTGTAGTTCACATAGGCTTGTAACACTTCTTCAAGTATACGATTAGTTCATTTTGTCTGTCTATCAGTTTGAGAATGTGCGGAGGTGAACATTTTTAGTTTGGTTTCAATGGTTTGGAAAAGACCTTTCCAAAATTTACTCATAAATTTTGGGTCTCTATCTGAGATTATATAGTGAGGTAACCTATAGTGCCTAAATATTTCGCAAAAAAAAAGCTGTGCAATTTCTATTGCTGTTGTGGTTCCTTTGGTAGGTAAAAAATAAGCTTTTTTACTTAACTTATCCACTACAACCATAATTGTATCGTTCTCATTTTTTGTTTGTGGCAGGTGGGTAATGAAATCTATTGTAATTACTTCTCAGGGTTGTGTAGGTATTTCTAGAGGACCTGCTGGTGCTTGTGTTGAACTCTTATTGCGTTGGCAACTATCACAACTTTGTGTATACTTTTTTATATCCTTTGCCATGCCTTTCCAATAAAAATTCCTTCTTAGTGCTTCATATGTCTTTTTATACCCAAAATGACCACTTAGATCATGCTGTTCTTTTAGCAATATCATTCTTGTTTTAGATTTCTTTATAAGACACAACTAAGGGTTTTCTTTATCTTTCTTAAAAAAAATTAACCCATTATCTTGTAGCTCAAAGCGTCTTAATTGTTTCCCTAACTTCTTTACTTCTTCATAGTTAGGATCCATAAATGCCTTTAAAATTCTTTGAAGATAAGTATTTTTATAATATTCCTTTTTTATCTTTTCATATATTTTTCCATTTATGTTAATTCTACTAACAACATTTACTTCGAGTTTTCTAGATAAGGCATCAGCTACAACGTTTGTTTTTCCTAGACGATATTTTATTGTAAAGTCATACACTTGAAGCATTTCGATCCAACGTGCTTGTCTACGTGACAATTTTGCTTGAGAATACAAGTATTTTAATGATTCATAGTTAGTCGTTATTTGAAAAGGTCTTCTCTCTAAGTATACGCACTATACTTTAAGGGTATATATGATCGCCAGAAGTTCTTTTTCATGAACTAGATTGTTCAATTCAGCTGGTGTTAACTTCCTGGACTCATATGCTACAGGTTGATCACCTCGTCCCTGATTTTGGCACAAGATTGCACTAATTGCTACATCAGATACATCGGTTGTAACTAAAAAAAGCATATTAGGGTTAGATATTAACAGTACTGGGGCAGAAGTTAAGGCTTCTTTAAGGCTTTTAAAAGCTAATTCTTGTGGTTTGTTTCAAATAAATTTTTATCTTTCTTTAGCAGCTTAGTTAATAGTGCTGCTGTGGTTGAAAAATTCAGCACGAATTTATAATAATAGCTTGCAAGGCCCAGAAAGGAACAGAGATCATAGATATTAGTTAACACTGGCTATTCTTTAATGACTGAAGTTTTTTTGGGGTCCACTTTTATTTCGTTATTAGATATATAGTGTTCTAAAAACTCGATTTCATTTTTTCCTAACTCACACTTTGACATTTTTCCATACAGCTTGTGGTGCCGAAGAATTGTAAAAACTTGCTGCACATGATTATAATATTCATCTTTACTTTTACTATACACTAATATGTTATCTAAATAGACAATAACACTTTTGTCTAGTTGTTCCCTAAAGATATTATTCATCAATCTCATAAATAACACAGGTGTATTTGTCAGCCCAAATATCCTTTGATGCGCTCAAATCGATTAAGATAAGAGCTTTCTTTCCTTTGATCATCTCTTCCACTTTTAAAAGGCTTTCCTTATTCGATTTATTATATCTTTTGTGTGTTCCTATCTTTTCTAATTCAGTAGTGGCTTTTGTTTTGACTTCTTTTGCTTCGACACTCTTTGGCCATGTGACCTTTCTTCTCACAAATAAAACATAGGCCTTGTTTTCTATATTCATTTTTTTTCTCTTGATAATACTTTGTTTCCTTTTTTTGTATATGTAGTCTTAGTATTTTTAGAATGTCCAGATTCAATTCTGTCTAGCTTCATTGGAATGGGTGTTTGTATATTGCTTGGTGGTGGGTGACTACCACCAAGATTATCATACTTCCAGTTATTGTTTCCCAATTGTTTTTTATTGACACTTTTTTTACACCATATATCGCAGAATCATAGCTTGTAGCTAACCTCACAGCTTCATCTAGGGTTTCGGGTGCACGGTAATTTACTTCTGCCTCGGTTGCTCCTTTCAATCTATCCATAAAATACATAATCTTATCAGCTTCATATATTCCATTAATTTGTCCAAGCAGGTTGCAGAACCTAGAAGCATATTCCTGGACAGTTGTTGTTTGCTTTAAGTCTCTTAGTTGGCAACATAGAAGTTGTTGGTGATGGGGCAGTTGAAATGCAGTTTTTATACCCTCTGCTAAGGAATTCCAATCTTCAAATGGTTGTTGGTTTTTATGAGCTTGTATCTGATTTAGGTACTATTGTAAAGCCGCATCCCTGAGGCCTGTTATTACATATTGCAACCACTCCGGATCTTCAACTTTTCTTGCCTTGAAAAGTAGGTCGACTATATAAGGACGTTTTCACCGTCTTTATCACTATAAACTGGTAATTGGACCATTAGCCCTTTCAAACTATTATTTTCAGCTCTCAGGATTCGATGATCAGCAGTTTGTCTTTCTTGCTATTGTTGTGCGGTGACAGCAAAGTATTGGTTTAACTGATGTTGACTTTCCAAAAACTGCTAAAAAAGTGAGATGAAGTCGGGAGGCGGAGGTGTATCTTCCATTCCAAGGTTGAGGTTGTCGTCTCCTGATATTGTACTAAGTATTAGTTTTCTAAGTTTTTTTTTTTTTTTTTTTCGTAAGCTAATTATCGTTTGTAGCTTTCAAGCCTTTAAATAATCAATAATGTCTTTAAATTAGATGAGAACAATCAATGTTTCTTTTTGATCATACGAAAAGCGTTGATAGGATTATCAACCTATTACAGCGTTGGTAGGAAAATCGTTTGCCGCTGTTACTAAGTGTAACCGAACCTATTTATTGTAGATTTAGGTTAACTAAAATTATTTTATATATAGAAAGTATTTCTTTTAATTGTTTATTGTTTTATTGTTAAGGAGCGATACCTCCCTTTTACAGACATTTTTTCCTTTATATATTCAGGTTTTTTCTTACTAACTATTACTAATGCAAATTATGCCTATGCCTATGACTACATTTATTATGCATTCGCTTTTAACTACTAATAAACTTTTAATTTATATACTATTCATGTATACTACAATGCTCAATTATCTTGCCTGATCAAATATGGCTCCAACTTATCCAGCCCCACCACGTGATGGCCTTCGTCACACAAGTTATAAAGTTCATATTCCCCAATTTTGACTTGTTTGGGCTCTAAATCACGTGCCACATGACTAATACCACCCCGATTGATGTAATCTACATCTAAACCTTTACAAGATTATTATAAAAAATGGAAAATTTCCATCTGTTGAAAAATCTAAACTGAAAATAGTCATATACAAACAAAATTTTACAATAAAATTTGTAACATGAAATGTTCTATACTTTTTAGTTATTTGGCTAGTTATTGACCAGTTACTCTAACCAATTATTTGACCATCTGACTGTAGTTAGTCGGTTATGAACTAATAACTGACAATAACTAAACAATAACTGATGGTTACTAACCACAGTGATGGTAAATGACCAGGTCATTTACTTATTTTGTAAGTGATCTGAAATGACTCCAAAATGACTGGTCTTTTTGGTTATCTAATTTTTGAGTCATTTAAAAATAACTTGTGACTAAATGATCTAGGTTATTTATAAATGACCAAAGTCATTTGGGTCATTAGATCATTATACATACTACAATCAGATTATGCAACATATATTTAAATAAATAATAAAAAAAAATTCAAAAAAAATAAATTAAATTTCACATTATCTGATTTCTCAACAGCTCGACAGTTAAACTTACACATACGTATGCATATATGTATGGGGGCATCTATAAATAACGTTATGTTTGAGGGGGAGAGGGTCCCCAAAATATAACGATTTTCCAATATTTAGAGGGGGTTCCCCAAAATATAACGCAATTTTTTTATAAGAATTTGTCTAAAATTTGATCCAGTGGTCCAAATTGGATCATTTTGGTACCATTCGAATCCTCTCGAGGCGAGGAGTCGAATGGTACTAATTTCATTTGATTTGGATCACTGGTACATGTTTTATTAATGAAATACTATTGGTTATTATGTTTTCTTATAAAATTACTATAAAATCAATAGTATTTCGTTAAGAAAACGTTATCCGGTAGTCTAAGTGAAATGATTTTGGTACTATTGGATTCGTCTCACAGAGACGAATCGAATGGTACCAAAATCACCCTGATTGGATCACTGGGTCATAATATATTCAAGTTTTTGTAAACTTTTATATATAAACATATAGATTTTTAAAAAATTTTTATATAGTCTGGGGGGTCAAGAGCTACTATGTAGGGGTACATAACATTATATATGGATGCCCCCTATATACTAGAGCAATATAAGCTAAGCTAAGCATGGGTACTATGTAATAGTGCATTTGCTATTTAGAAATAGGCAAATTATAGTTTTCTCAAAAATCTCATGTATTACATGCGAGATAGAATCATAAATCTGCAGGTTTCTTAATTTTTTGTGTTTTATTAAAAATCCCATGTGTGCCCATCTCTAATGCCAGCACTTGCAGAGCTCTAGTTATATACCTGATACTTACATACATATGTATATACTATCATATATACCTGATACTTATTCCAAATCTGTTTGAGTAAGTTTATTAATTAAATATACTTGAAAACTTTTTTTTAAAAAAATAAACATCCAATAACAAGTTACTCTTATTATCAAGTAAAATTTTTTAAAAATTTTAAACCCCGAAAATAAGCTACACTTCATTTTTGTATTCAAAATTGCTTTAAAAAAGGAACTTATTTTTATTATTTTCAAGAATATATAAGTACTACCAAGGCAAAACCTATAAGCAAATATTTGAGATATCAATAAGGTGAGTTTAATATTAGGAAAATATTACATATTAAATCATTGTATACAAATCTTATACAATGATTTAATACATAATATCACAATTTTCCCAGAATTAAACTCGCCTTATTGATACCTCAAATATTTGCTTACAGGTTTTGCCTTGGCAGCACTTATATATGGTATATTTTTCAAATAACCAAATAGGTCATTTCGCTTTTTTAAATGACCGGTCATTGGTCATTATTCACTTGAGTCATGAGGCCATTTCAGGTCATTTATCATCTCTAACTGACTATATACACAAAATCAGAATATTTAGAATCTGAAATGATAAAAAAAATCATAAAAAAAAACCCTCAATCAGTATAGAAAATACTACGTGAGAATGTATATACACAATACTATTATATGATTAATAATTCATTGGTTACATGGTAGGGCTATTAGTTGGTCCATCCATCTTGGTTCAAAGACTAGTAGTCTTTAAAAAGTTAGACCGAACTGTGGTTTAGGACCGATTAGTATAAGACAAGATGGACTGATTGTTAGACTAATTAAATGCCACATAGATTGTACCAACATATTAGTTATTATGTATTATTGCCTATTAATTATTAAATTATTACTCGTTTTTTTCAATTCTAATAAAATTATAGCAAATATACCCTTCATGAGATCTGATTGGCTAATCTTGCATATATATGCATATGGAGTGAGTTAATAGAAACACACCAAATTTTTTCTAAGTAAATTTTTTTAAAACTTTGAACAAAAATAACTTAACAATAACTTAATTAAATTTAGTAAAAATTTTTTTAAAATAATTCTAATAACTTATAGAAAATAATTAAAAAAAAATTTTACTAGATTTGATCAAGTTTTTGTCGAGTTATATTTGTTTAAAATTTAAAAAAAAAATTATTAAAAAAGATTTGGTGCATTTCTATTGACTCACCCTCATATAATTAAACTTGTGGCTTTGTATATACAGTAAATACATAATGTACTTTGAGTCATATGAATGTGAGAATTCATAATTAATTGTGAATAAGTTATGATATTATAATTATATATTCTATATTTATTTTTTTAAAAATATTATAAACGTGATTAGTTGCATTAAATCAGGGTTTATGATCAATACTAAACTGAAATTATTCGTTTGCATAATTAATGTTGGGCCCCTCCAGGTAATGTTCCTATTGAACCTAGGTTCAAAGTTCATAAACATGTTCAAAGTTTTGAATAAAGAAAAAAGCATATAATCGCAAAGATAAAAATACTTATATCTCATGATCTACTG